TTTTAAGTCTAAGTCACTCAAAACCTATTGAACAAAATTCAAGTAAGGAGATCCTAGTGTATCCTTCAGATTTACTTGAAAATGAGTCTATAGAAGACTGTTTTGAGAGACTTAGAAATAATCCCACATCAAAAAATCAATCGTCAAATTTCAAAGAAGACACTATACTTCAAGACTCAGACTATAATGAAAATTCTGATACTGAGTCTGATATCTTAATTTCCTGTGACTCTACCAACTATCCTGAGGGAAATCCAGTGCTTACAATGTACAAGAGGGTTGACAAAAAAGTCAAGCCCGTGTCAGGAACTTTTCCCCAAGGAGCCAGAGTAGATCGTCATTTTCCTCATGACCCACTCCGAAATCTAATCCCGTTAACCCCACATCCTCCTGAATTTGTTCCTAATGGACGTCTAACTCATGATCGTATGGTTGACCTTAAGATAAATTCACAAGGATTTCTTTGGCCTGAAGAAGATAAACTTTTTCAACACATCATGAATTTAAATCAAGAGACCCTAGCATTTGAAGAAACAGATAGGGGGACTCTCAAAGAAACATATTTCACCCCATATATCATTCCCACTGTACCTCATGTACCTTGGGAATATAAGAATATTCCTATCCCACCGGGGATACGTCAAAAAGTTATTGAACTACTAAAGTCCAAGATTAATGCAGGAGTATACGAACCAAGCCAATCTGCATACCGTTCACGTTGGTTCTGTGTACTCAAGAAGAATGGCAAACTAAGACTAGTCCATGACCTTCAACCTCTCAACAAAATTTCTATTCGAGATGCTGGCCTCATTCCTATAGTGGATGACTTTGTGGAGTCATTTGCTGGAGCTCAGTGTTACACCGTATTCGATTTATTCTGGGGATTTGATGCACGTAAAATGCACCCAGAAAGTAGAGATCTTACAGCTTTCCTAACACCATTAGGACTGCTGCGATTAACAGCCTTGCCAATGGGCTATACAAATGCACCTGCAGAATTTCAGAAATGTACCAGCTTTGTACTGCAGGATGAAATTCCACATGTAGCCAATGTTTTCATAGATGACCTTCCAGTCAAAGGTCCACAAACTATCTATCCTGACAATAAAGGTAATCCCGAGGTCTTAGAAGAAAACCCAGGGATTAGACGATTTATTTGGGAACATGCAAATGATGTTCACCGTATCATGCACCGTATAAAAGACGTAGGTGCAACATTCTCCGCTACGAAAATTCAGTGTTGCCTTCCAGACGTCCTTATTGTAGGACAGCGCTGTACTCCGGAAGGAAGACTACCTGATACCGAGAAAGTGTCCAAAATTCTCAACTGGCCAATTCCCACTACGATTAAAGAAGCCCGAGGATTTATGGGACTTTGTGGGACAGTTCGTATTTGGATACTAGGATTCTCTGAACTAGCAAAACCTATCACCCAACTTTGGAGAAAAGATGCCCCTTTTATTTGGGGAGATAAGCAAGATATTGCTTTCGAAACTTTGAAGGAACGTATATGTTCAGCACCAGCAATGAGAAGCATTGACTATACTTCTTCAAACCCCGTATATTTATCAGTTGATTCCAGCTTCATAGCTGTAGGAATCATCCTTTCGCAAGTAGACGATGAAGGACGACGACGTCCAGCACGATATGGTTCTTTACCTATGGGCGATGCAGAGTCACGATACTCTCAGCCCAAGTTAGAATTGTATGGACTTTTCAGAGCACTTCGACATTACCGACTTCACATCATTGGAGTTCAGAACCTCCATGTAGAAGTTGACGCAAAATATATCAATGGCATGCTTAATGAGCCCGACCTACAACCAAATGCCACAATCAATAGATGGATTCAAGGAATTCTCCTATTTGATTTCACACTTCACCATGTACCAGCAACAAGTTTCAGAGGGCCTGATGGCTTATCTAGACGCCCTCTAGCTTCAGACGAAGAGATTATCCCTGAAGATGACTCTTGGTTAGACGAAATAGCCCTATTCACGTCAATCTCAAATTTCACTACACATCCATATAATCCCAACAACCTACCATCTATATTTTTGTCAGCTGCTGATCAAGAGCAGACTTTGACAGATATTTTCAAGTTCCTTACCACACTTGAAGCACCAAGTTTTGAAAGTACTGCTAAACGCAAGAAATTTGTCAAGCGTACAACTCGATTCTTTGTACAAAAGGGAAAGATGTACAAGCGTCTACCAGATAGACCCCCTTTGCTCGTTATTTTTGATCCTGATAAACGGCTGTCTATACTATCAGGAGCACATGAAGATTTAGGCCACAAAGGAGTTCAGTCTACCTTTGAGACTATTCGATATAGATTCTTCTGGCCACATATGTATACCGATGTTAAGCACCATGTACAATCTTGTCATGATTGTCAGATTCGAAGCACAAAGAAAATGCACATACCCATCACAGTCTCTACACCTGCCACAATCTTCACAAAGATCTACATTGACATACTCAAGATGCCTGCCGGGAATGGTATGAAGCATCTAGTGTTAGCTCGAGATGATCTTTCACGATATGTAGAAGGAAGAGCATTACGATCTGCCTCTGCCAAAGCTATGGCCAAGTTTTTCTGGGAAGACTTGTATTGCCGATATGGAGCAATAGGACAGATTGTCACCGATAATGGCTCCGAAGTCAAGGGAGCATTCCAAAATTTACTTCAACAAGTCGACATTCCACAGATTCAAATTTCACCCTACAACTCACAAGCAAATGGGGTAGTTGAACGTGGACACTTTAATATCAGAGAAGCAATAGTTAAAAGTTGTGAAAAACACATCTCACGATGGCCTGAGAAGGTTCCTCAGGCACTCTTTGCCGAAAACATTACCACAAGCCGTGCAACCGGATTCTCACCTTTCTACCTATTACATGGAGTCCATCCTGTTCTACCTTTTGACCTTAGTGAAGCCACATTCCTTGTTGATGGATTTCACACGGATATGAATCCTGTTGATTTCCTCGCATTACGAATACGCCAAATTGAACGACGTCCTGAAGACTTGAGACGTGCCGCTAAGACATTAAAGAAGGTCAGATTTAAGTCCAAGCTTCAGTTTGAACAGAAATATCATCTGAGGATGCGCAGAAAATCATTCGCACCAGGTGATCTTGTACTAGTCCGAAATACCCAAGTTGAGAAAGAACTGAATCGCAAAACTAAACCACGATACTTAGGACCCTTTGTTGTCGAGAGACAAACCAAAGGTGGATCCTACATTCTTAAAGAAATGAACGGAACTTTGTCTAGACGTGGTGTAGCCTCCTTTAGACTAATTCCGTATATAAGCCGAAATGATCCCACTCTACAATCAATTGCAGATACTCTTGATAATGGTCAAGACTCTGAGAAAAATTCATCAGGATCAGATTCAGATACTTCTTTCCTCTCAGAGGACGAATAACAAAACACATCACATCATGAACGGCAAAGACACCACAATAGAAAACCGAATTCAACAGAACATTGCAAGTTTATTTGACATCCTTTTAGAGGATTGCAATAAACTTCACGAATACTTTATTTTTCAAGATATCAGAACACATTATAATCAAATGATATACTTCTGGGATCACAATCACCAGGAAGCATTATCACAAATATGTCCTACATGTGCAGTATACTTTGAAATTTTCAGACTCCTAGATGAATGGCACCATCTTGTCAACCCAGAGAACAGATGGAGGAGTCACCAACATCATGATTAATAAAATGACATGACCTACCCTTCAACTGGGGACAGTTGCGATTTTTCGTTCGGGGTGGATGTCATGCATGGTATGTGATTCATACCATGTCAGATATATATAGAGAGTGATAAGGAAGATATGAGAGACTGTCTAGCCCTCTGTCACTGAGTTACCTTTCTATTTTTCCTTTATTTCATTGTCTTGTATTTTATTTCTCACTTTTCAGATTTATTTTACCTTGTATTTTTATGAGCATGTGACCTTCTGTTTATTTCTCATTATTTATTTTTTATTTGGCTACTTTCAGCCACAGATTTGTTTGTCAAAGTTTTGTATCTCTATTTATTTCTGACTGTTTATTTTTATTTGGCTTCTTTCAGCCACCAGATTTTATTTGTCAGCACATCATGTGACTGGGGAATATTCTGGTTTGTAACATTATTTAAGCTGACTCAACATGTTTAGTCATGATTGGTCATGCTTTGTAACAACATTCACATGACTCATCATGTTTTGTCATGATTTGTCATGCTTTGTAAATTCTTTGTAAGATTACACTGTATTTGTAATGTACTTAGTAATAAGCTGATTCATCATCTGGTTTGTAAGCCACATTCTTACCAATCCATCTGATAAATCATGCTTAGTAAGGGGGTTCCCAAAAGGTATAAAAGGACCCCATTTTCACCCATAAAATATAACTTCCCATTTTTCATTCTTCTCTCAAACCGTGTGAGAGTACATAAGAATAAAAGTGCAGGCAACGTGCCTTGAAGTAAGACTAAGACACATCATTATTCTATTCTAAAGTTATATACTACCTTACAGGGGTTGACTATATAACTTTCGTTATCGTTATTCTACTCTAGGTTATATACTACCTTACAGGGGTTGACTATATAACCATCGAACAGCTCTCATTCTAAGCTTTACGTGTATACATAAGACTCTCTCTTTCAACGGAAAGTGAGACACATATCTAAGGACGACAAAGTTGAAACAGACTTTCATAGGTTGAAACACGACCTACTAGGCTGAAACAAACCTAACGAATTTATCCAGAACACAGAACATTCCACAACACTTCGTATCAGACTACACAAGAAGAGGACAGCAAACTAAATCCTCCCAAGAACTCACCACGTTACCTCCCACGAAGTAGAAAAGTCAGAGACCGTGGACTTAAGGACTGGCAAGAAGTCTTCCCTGTGTATAATTGTGTTGTCATTATACACAACTTTTATATAAGACCCTTAAGTAACAAGACAGCGCGCACTCAGATGGATGAGGACAATTCATCTTCAACTGAATCTCACAAGAGGGGTTCATCAGCTCTTCAGCTGGGGCCTTGCAAGAAAGCGTACGTCTTTCACCTCTCAGAAATCTGCACGCACACTGACATTAGCTTAGCTTGAAATCTGATCCACTTGTTTCACATGGACGACATTTTGGTCGCACTGTTTTTGCCCTCTGCAACTATCCCTCTCTTTTAACAAGTGGAGTGTTAAGATTAGAACAACTGGAAGACATGTCCATAGAAGATTTTTTCTGCTGAGTCAATATTGCCTTATTTTTCTGATACTGGACCCCTCATAAAGTTGTCAGGGAGCGCCGGGAACATGCAGTCTTTGAAACGCTCTTGGATTCCTATCCAGGGCTCTTAGAACGGCTGAAGGAAGGCTCAGAGGATTCATGTTGGAGAACTGGTGAGTTGCATGTGTCTGCCAGTCATATTCTCACTTATCCCAGAAGATTGGCAAGGGAGCGGCTTGTGCAAGGGGGGAGGATACAAAGTCTTTGAAACCAGTCATCATTGATTGGATAGCGCCAGCAGGTGAAGCAGTAGTGCCTCCTTTACCAAGGAATTCTAAAATCAGTCAGGGCTTCAATCACCCTCTCACCGGCCGCTTACTCTGTCCTGCTGAGTTGGATTGGGATGATGCAGAGTAAGCCATTCAAATTGTTATATTTAGATGCCAATCACTGATACTTGATCAGCACGAAACAGAGCCTGCAAAGTGGTGAACTTGTCGTCAGTGGAGACCAGTGGCCTCTATTTGTATATGCCAATGAAGTGTTTGATCCAGAGGATCCTTGGAATGGCCTTCTCAGAAGCCGCTTGCTTGTGAATGTGAGTGTGCGTTTTGAATACACACATGCTTATTGTATATCATTGGACAAGGCGTTCAGACACATTTTTACATCGCCAAGTTCAGTGGACAAAGAGCCCAAGGCAACACGTGCGGGAAATGCTAGAATTCATGGTATGACTACTGTTACATCTGCTTCGGTAGCATATGTGGCCACCCAGGTTTCTATAGAGCTTCGCTTTATCATTTATTCAAGTTTGTGACTAATTATTGGCATAGATTCAATTCGCACTCTGTTCATCCTCAGTATTCTCATGCACTGACATGGTCACAGATTCAGAAACATTCTATCACTCTCTTCTTGACCTTTTGGAGGACCCGGATGAGCGCAGGAAAGTCACAGAACTATTACTTTGGTGGAATCAGTAAGTCGACATGTTTTGAGAAATATTCAAACTCTTATAGCAATTCAGTCAGATATTTCCAATGTCTTCAGCAGCCAAGCGACCTCTCAAAGCAAACAGTGCCCTCTCTAAGATTCGCCAAAAGAGAGCTGCTTTAAAAGACGCAGATGGAGGTTCTGCTTGATATGTTCCAGTCAACCGTCCAATAGAGCTACTATTATTATAATACACATATCAGAGCGTCCATTTATATGTATTTAGTATGAGGCTGAGACCAATGTTCAAATTTCTGGTGTCATCAGCAGCAGAGGTCTGAGAAGAAAGCAGAGCCATGACAAGCTTGAAATGAAAGATCAGCTGTAATTTTTTTGGCCTGGTGTGATGGCGCCCTGCTGAACATTAGCAATATGATACCAATGGTGCAGGCCGCCCCCACATGAGAAGGCTGCAAGCAGCTGTAAGCTGCTTCAAGTGAGAGGGACTTTGGGAGGTGCACCATTTCAAGCTTACCTTGCAGTGAAGGACCAGCTCAGGACATTTTGGCCTGGTATGATGGCGCCCTGCTGAACATCAGCAATATGATACCAATGGTGCAGGCCACCCCCACATGAGAAGGCTGCAAGCAGCTGTAAGCTGCTTCAAGTGAGAGGGACTTTGGGAGGCGCACCATTTCAAGCTTACCTTGCAGTGAATGACCAGCACCCAAACCAATGTTTGATTTGGCTAATAGTACATGTAGAATCTTTCCTTACAAGCACCTGTCAAGTGATATCATTTGTCATGCTAATTGCGAATTGTAGCATGCTAGTCATAAGCTACAAGCATGGACCATCACCTGCCAAATGTAGATTCAATGGAGCGCTTGGCAATGTCTGCCCTTTATTTAGCCAACAGTACCAATTGCCTTTGGCTAACAAGGAGATGACTATGATAAAATGTGCCTTCTCCATAAGAAAGATTGACATGGCATATTCCATCCATATTACTCCGGGTATATAATGGATTGTCTACAGATCTATCATAATGATACATATTTCACTTATTTTAAAGAAGATAAAGCAAGGTAAAGCTTTGTCATTGTGAGGTCAATTCCCTGATGTCATCGTGGTATGTCGGAGTTCAAAGCTGCCGAAATTGCCGTGTAGTGCCGAAGTTTTTTTCACAGCATGTGGTTACTCTGAGACAAGAGGTGTGCGTTTGCAAAATCCCGAACACAGAGCTCAACTTTACCTAAGCTAAAAAACCTTAATGTATAGCCACTCTAAGTTACTGGCGATGTGTTTTGAGTTTCTCGCCAGCGGCCTCAAAAGTTCATAAAATCGTTTGTCAAGTACTGAACAGGGGGTGTTTTTACTAGTGTATAACAGCTCTGGATAGTCATTTCAATGATCCACACCCATCCAAAGATACCACCTGCTAAACGAGAGATCTTGGATGTGATTTTTGGAAGCACGTGAGCAAAGTCATACACGTCGATATCAATATGACACGTCAATATCAAATCGACGTGTCTCGTCAATGACGCGCATCTCTCTTTCCTTACACCTCATTCATTATGTATTCTACGACTCATCAATCTACATGTTAAGACTCATGGTTTGCTTCTAGTAATAACGACGACAACACTGCATATATCACGGACTTCGAAGATGATTTTTTTCAAACCACGCAACCCGGATCAAATCACCATTCGCATTATTCTAATACATCATCTGGACATTCGCAGACACCGACTATAGATTTTCAAGTACCATCACACACGGACAATCATTTGCATAGCTCATCTTGTAGTATACTTGACTATACCTCACTTAATTCTCGTTCTCTGAGTCGACAATCCTCGACCGACAGCCAATCATCAAATACGTCTTCGGTTCCAGCCTTGGTCTCGGATATCGACATCGATATTGAGGCACAATTTGTTACTTGTACTGTCCTATGCGCTGCTATGCTTTGTTACTGCTTACACGTTCATGCACGCACGCTACGCGTTGTATTCTATGCTCGGTGCACTTTGGTACCGCTGGACGACTACTTAATATGGATAAATTAAGTGATCGGTCACGCTGTCACGGTAGGCGTAGGCGTCTTCGAAGTTTATGAGGTTAGTGTCTTGAACTTCTCGATTGCACACCTCTTGCTCTGAGACCCATTATAGAAAGGCGACTCGTCAACACGTGAAGTAATGATCACTGAGCTTGCGGACTGTGATTTCTTGGTCCAACTTTGCTTGAATCAAAGTTGAAAGCCCCGATGGTGCATACATCGAAGTCTATTGTTTTCCCTCGTTCACCCATATTTGGCAGCCGCGCCGGCCGTTTGAAACCATGTCGCATGAAACCTGCGGTGCAGATATGCTTCACTTATAGTTCATTCTTCACGATACAACTGCATTGTATACCCTCATTAGGTGTTTTATCCAATACATATACCAATATTTGCATTCCAGCAGGAAAACACGTCTGTGAACCTCGGGAGGCCTGGGACTATCAGAAAAGAAGGTATATATGCGGGAGGGCCCCTCGTGATCAAAATTGATACGGCGGGAGGCGCCTGACACACTTCGGTTGAGGCCTCTTCCATTCCTCCATCTGCGTCCCAATGGAGGAAAACGCATCTGCAATCGCTGAGCCTTCTGGTGGATGCCCGACTTGATCAGCAAGATGATTTACTTCTGCTGGTGCATCAGTAGTGTTCTGCGGGTCCTGCGGAGGTTGACGTGGAGTCCATGGCGTGGGGGCATTAAGGGGCCAGGTAGGAAGATAACATATTTCCTGCAAGTAGATTATGCTTAGTCCGGTGGGCTAGGCAGGAAATTATTTGGATCCCACCTCTGGGCCGCAGGCAGGTCGGCATTTAATCCATATACTCCAGTCTAACCAAGACATCAGCTTTTGGGTGTCTTGTCTCCAGTCATTCATTATTTGAGCGACATCAGGCTCCCCATCAAGTTCAATGGGGAAAAGAGTGTCGAACCCGCTCGTGACACCAACGGCCCACATCTTCGTAGTGACACGACAGATTTCTCTCATTATGTCCTCGATGGCCTTGAGCAACAGGCGTTCTGAAGGCGTCATTAAGGGTACTTGATATGTCATCGCGGTAGTATGTGTTGTGGCACATAGCCTGAACATTGGGGATGCCCACTGCAATGGATGTAGGCCCGGAGTATCTGCGCTAGGGACAACGGTAGCATCTAATAGATATGGCGCGAGCATAACGCGGAGCTGGGTCTGCACGAGCTTTGCTCGCTGAAGGAGTTCTTGCGAGTCTGATGAGGTGAAATTGAGAAGATGCCGCACGAGCTCGAGCCGATCCGCATATCGATCAACGATGACGTGGGTGAGGGCCTTCCAGTCTATTCCGCTGCCCGGGTCTGGTCGACTGATGACTTCGGTGAGCTTTCTCATCAACTGCGATATGTCTTCTGATGATATTCCGAACACCCGGTGGTCCCGCCGTTCAAGCCCCGCGCGAACCGGGACGAGGGAAGGTGCCAATGCGATATCATACAGTGAGACGAGACCAGCCATGTCGAGCACAATGCGAGGATCCCCTGGGTAGCGATTGTGCCATGAGCCGGAGTACATGGCTTCAAATGTGCGATTCCCTGCGCTCAGGAACAAATGACGTCAGTCGTATTGGAACACAAGAGCAAAACACTAACAGAGTTCAGGACCGGGTGGGAGAGGATAGCGATTCGGAGGGTCCCTGGTGTTGTCCTTCCATAAGACCCGGACATGCAGGAAAGATACTACTTCGACACCGGCCGTAAAATCACACAACATAACTTCACTAAAAATTCATCAGTCGAAAGTGCGACACAGAGTAAGAGCACGCGCACAAGCCCATTTCCATCCTAGAAATCTGACAATCAGTTATTATACCATAGCGAGATGACTCGCTAACCTCGCGAAACCGTCGATTCCGAACTCCTTTCCCCACCTACAGAGATCTTTAATCCGTGAATCTTCATCCAAGATGCGCTCAGGTTGCACTTCTCCCCAGGCTATTATATCCTGTATATCCATTGTACCCTCGGATACCGTAGCAGCACTACTTCCATCAAAGTACAAAACTTTCAGAGGTCGCGTTGCTGCCAGCGTGAGGTGCCAGCCAGCCCTATCTCCACGAGCAAAAACAAGAGAATGTTCTGGGTCTGTAGAGGTCCACTCGGGCTCACTGGGTATCACATTGCGGGTGGTGCCGTGATACAGTACAGTACCTATTGGAATGGTTCCTGGTATTATGTTATGTCCTATAAAAAGATGAAACACTTGTCCCGCATTAGCAAAGCAGCGGACAGGGATACGTACCATTACGATATCGAGTGTTTGGCCAGTGTTGTAAGAGTGAGTGGACCGTGTCGAAGATCAAGTTCCCTGTCGCATTCTCGGCAGGACCTTCGTCAAGACTCCATTGCTCTATTTTCGAACCGAAACCAAATGAATGTAGTTTATCATTGTTCGAGTTGGCGATATTCAAGGGTCGACCGCCAGCTTCTCCAGTAGTGCTGACGGGAAATTGTTGGGTATGGAGAGCTAGAACTGCTGACCCGAGACTCATAGCTACCGCAAGGGAGTGATAACGCATTGCGAGAACTGTCAGAGAAATATTGATGTTATCGTGTCTTTATCGGAGCCAAGTAGTAATGCGCGGTTCTTGGCAGAACTCGGGAGTTGTGCCAACTGGAACTGGTTGGTGGTCTACGGCAGAATTCGTGCGAAGTGAGGGTGGCAGAACCTCATCCAAGACTTGGGGAGATGTAATTTTGATTTGATGACAGTCTGCATGCACCAATTACCATGTTCGCCCGGTTGATTCCGAGCGGTCGGTATCGCAAGTTGTTCGCCAGGGCGATCGATTTCGTGAAATAGCAGAAACAGCGCTGCAGCCTCAGATAGTATCAATCATGTACGGAGGACCTGCCAACGCGCCGGCCCACCTCCCGGGTTTGAACGTGGTGTTGGATCATGTCAATTTGTCAAATACGTTACTCATGCACATATGCAGAGAGATACGTGGCATATGCATATGTTACAGCATGTGTACGTACCGTTGCAACATCGAACAACAAAAAGTGAGCAGTAACATGTAGAAATTGTCGCCGAGCTGCCAGTCATTCGTGCTTAGAGATAGTACTTGCCGGTCACCACTCGATTTTCTGAAAGTGCGATAGACGGTGTCCGGGCCCTCGGCGAAGCCTACATATGAATTGTGTTAATATATTACGTTCTGCCAGCAGG